ACACAAGTATGAATAAATTATACATTTCCCCGTAATTTTTAAGTATAGATTTAAATACTAGCAAATGATACATAAAATATAATTTATTATTTTCATTCAACTTTTGAAAGCCAAAGGAATAATAGTTTTTTCATTATAAATTAATTATATGTTTTTAATAATTGTGCATATTGATAACTTACAATTAAGGCTTTGATTATCCGGTAAAAATGAAGTAATAAATTTCTTCTTTTTAAACATTTGTTTAAAAAATTAAACAACAAGTTGTTTATATATTTAGACACAAAATAAAATAAAAATGCTTTTACACGCAAATAGAACAAATTTTTTTTTCATTATAAACACATGTCTACACTTTTTTGAAAATAAAATAGAAAAATAATCAATTATAATAGGTACCTTTATTTAAAGTAAATATTTGTTAAAATGACCTATACAATTTTTTACTGCTGATTTATTGATTGATTTGATAAAAACTAACATTTTCGAGAAAAGACAATTTTAAAGATTTAATCACTTCTTGATTCTCAAGCTTTGATGACTCAGTAGGTACTGTTCTATTTAATATAAATAACTAAATAAAATATAAATTCGTCCTGTACAAAGATATTTTATGTATATATGAAACCTAGTAATTTGTATTATTGTCTTTATGACTTCAATTATTCACTGAGAAAATCTTTATTTATATATAAAAGCATACTTTATATAATTTTAGTATCGACATGTGTTATTATAAAGTTATTACGATAATTTTAAAGAGTTCTAGTTTCTTATAAGTTACAATAGATAAAGTGATGAAACAAATTAAACCAGAAAATGTGTTAATCAAAATAGAGTGTTTTTTTTTTTTTTAATTGTATATTTTATAATGAAATATTATACCTAATATAAATGAAACAAGCACAATCGATAAGGATTAAAGAACTAAAAGTTATTTCAAATCGATTACTTTAAAACTAATTTTTTAACAAACCTAAAACAAATTAACTATTAAATCAATCATGAATCTAATTTGTTTTATTGGCAATAACTAATATATTTATTAATAATTTAAAAAAAACATTTCAGTATATACGAAAATATAATAAAAAAAATCAAATAGACCGCTTATAAAAGGACGGTAAAAATTATTTATGACTTAACTTGAGTTGATTAACATAATATCGTATAAAAGTTATTTTTTCTTAACTATAAAATATTAAACACGAATTCATAAAAATATAACAATAATAAGATTTCTTTTTTATAATAAATAAGTATAATCGAAACGTAATAATTAATGAGTACTTTGTCTACCTATGATATTTTACCGTTTCCCCGTTAGATAGAAGGAATACAAAATAAAGGTAAACTAAATTATTTTTTTAGAGTCAAACTAAACGGATTGCACGATATTCGATTCAATAAGAATAAATAATAATCATTTTTTATCAACAAATATAGATTATTACATTCACCTTTTAGTGATAAAAAAAGAAAATTACTCGTAAATGAACGATTATTTCACCTATTAACTAACGATTGTTTAAATTAATTATTAATGAAATAATGATATTATTTAAAACACGTAGAAATCCAATAGTTCTACGAATAAGTTTAGGATTAGAGTCTAATAGTGCCATGTTTCTTATTTACATTAATATATTCAGCAAAAGGATATGAGGTTTACGTATAAAATTATTAAAACAGTTTCGAGATCCACTTTGACCTCGTACGCATTTTATTTTTTTGCTTGAGAAAAATGTTTTTTCTCAAAAGTGCTACTTTTAGACTTATTATGATGCACTACGTACAGACGATGCGTAGTTTTCTACCGATGAAATATATAATTCATTTTAAGAATACCATCATCATAATATATTGACACTGCAGAATATAAGAGATGATATATGTCGAACACAATGATCAGACATTATTTTTATGATTAGAATAAAAGTATCTGTACAATAAACTATAATAACGTGCATAATTGATGCACGTGATTTCGCACATTTCGATTTTTTGCACAAGTATATATAGACATCGGACAACGACCGACACGTCATGTATTGGGTGTCGGGTTTATTTTGCAAAACCGCCAATGTGACCCACTTTCGATACATAAAAATCTTGTACTTTGAGTGTACTGGCAAGAGGATATGGAATACATTATGAGCAGGATACATATTAATTGTCAAACACAATTTTATAATTATACATTTATAAAACTCGCATGAATCGACTTAATAGTTTCCCGCTTAAAGCGTGCACAGCAGCTACAAACACTGAGTAGCACCGTGTAAATACCTTTCTAATATTATAATAATTTTAATCAAAATCATAATAATAATTATAATAATAAACATGCATACAACCTTCCAACAGGAAATCGTACTGCATTCGGTAGCGACCACGGCAGCGCCGCTATCAATTCGTGTCGTTTTCTCCCAGACGTTTCCCATATCAATCGGCCCACTCCTCTTAAAACTCTACTACCCCCAGGGACGACATCAGAGTTTGTGAGGCCCAGGGCATTACACTATTTATTACGACATCCTAAATTAAAATTAATTTAATCTTTCTCATACATGTGATTGTGAAAAGAAAATTAATACGAAGACTTTAAAGAAACTTTTGTTGATTTAATAATAAAAATAAGAACATTTGAATATTATTTGTATACCTACTGTATTCTAGTATACTAATTACTTGGTCTATTGGATATGACTAAAAACATTTTTTATTGATTTTTTTAAAGCGAAAATTTCTAAGAGATTTTCTAGTCGATTTTGTTAGATATTTCTTATTCAATACATATAGGTGCAATATCTGAAAGTTTCTTTTGACTAAGTTTATTTCGCAGGTACGTTTTGAAGTAAATTCCCAGAAAAAAACTACGTGAAAATTTGCGAAAAAAAAAAGACGTTGATACAGTTGTGGCCCATTTCGATGGAAAATTATTCCATTTCTATCTGGGAAAAAAATGTCGATAGACTTCCAATAGTAATTAGTTTCGGTGGAAATTAGCAATTGTTTTTGTCCCTTTCATAAAATCAGGAACAAATAAAGACCAAGCTTTAGCAGTTTATAATTTAATAGATTATTAGAGTGGAATCTAATGAAAAATGTTCTAGGGACGGGTTTAAGGGGGTGGCTAAAAAGGCATTAGCTCTCCCCTTGAGACTAAGCTAACTTTTTTACAAAACCAAGAATTATAATATATTGATATATTAATTATTATAAAATATCGTCAATCGCCACTGATGAATATGGTACCTATTTTATATATTTTTTTATAAATTAATAGCTCATTTTTTTATGTTAATTATGTGTGTATAACTATATTTTTAAAAT